TACAGGGGGCTGACTCCAAAAAGCACCCCATGCAGCACTGCTGGAGCGAGGTACCCAGGGAAGCAGGTACCCAGGGTCCGAAGCAACAGGAACCTGGGGGTTTTGCAGCAGAGCCCACAGCGTTTTCACGAGGGCTATTTAGCAGGTGTGCTGGTGACCACACCAGGCATCCAGGACCCTGTGCCCAACACTGCTGTGAGGCTGAGCAATGCTGGAGGAAACACAGCGCATCCCCTGGCATCCTGGAAGGGCTGGACGGTACTGCCAGCCCGGGAACAGGCTTCCTTGGCCATAACGTCATCTGCAGCACCATGACCTAAAGACTTTGTGATCCAGCAGGGTAAAAAAGACACTTCTCTAGGGCAACATATTTCATCAGAAAGTGGATCACGTTCCATTGGATGCCAGAGGACATGCAGCAAAACATCCCACTGCAGGCTGCATTGCTCTCCAACACAGCTGAACACTACTACAACAGTTCTGCAGACGAGAAGCAAGCATATGCCAGCCTTAAAATCCGGATAAACAGTTCCAGAAGGGAATCAATCCATCCTTCCTCTTCTCTGGCAGAGCAAAGGCTGCCATGTTGTACAGAGAATGCTTATAGGAAGAGGAGGCCTCTGCAAAAATCACCGTCTGTGTGAGCGCATCTTGCCTCACAGCACAGCCCAGGGCCCAGGAGGTGCCTCTCCCACACGTACTTCACCTACAAGTCACACTCAAACCACTGACACAAGCTGCCCCACTCGGTCAGAGAGCTCCCTCACTGCATGGCTGCAAGCGGCATGGAGGCTTCTGGCAAATGGCAAAATAGTTCCTGAACAACAGGTAAAAGCTGCAATTATCTGAGGATGAAAAGGACGGTCTCCTTGGAGGCACTGAGTAATCAAGCAATTAGGAATTACTTCCCATTACTGCTCCCAAAAAGCAGAGTTGGATGGACATCCTTTTAAATGTCTTACTTTCCATCTATTTAAGGCCTTTACACAATTTGGCTTCAGCATCAAAAACTCTCAGCCTATGGGCTGTCCCCAACCCTTTCCCCAGCTTTGAACAGAACAAAGACTGGAAGCAACACACTCAACCACGGGCATGTTCTTGGACGAGGGCCTGCCCTGCCTCCCATCCTTCCCCCCGCAGTGCAGGCTGACAGGCAGTAGGGTCAATGTGTGTGCATTGGTAAATGCAGCCAGGGCAGGATCTCCTGGGATCTCTTACTTAATAGCATCCAATACTATAGTATCTCTTACTTAACAGTATCCAAGACTGCTCCAGCTTCAGCAATTCCCACTCGGCTCCGAGAAAGCCTCAACAGCTGCTAGGGAGAAGCTAGAGAAATGCGGATGAGACAAGGGCAGATGAGGAAGGCCAGAGCCTGGTGCCCTCCTGCAGCCAGGCAAGACGTGCCGCGTGCCCGCCGCGCTGCCGGGCGGCCCTGGTGCCATCCCTGGCAGCAGGGCTGCTGGGCACCGTGCAGCTCATGGTGCTGCTCATGGTGTCTCTGTCCTGGCTCCCAACCACACAACTTCAGGCAGATGCCAGGGGCAAGGGCCAAGGACAACCCCGACCCACAACCTGCTAGAGAAGAGCAAAGATGGGCGACTGGGAGACTTTATAGTAGAAGCTGCAGTATCTAAACTCATTATTGTTGCATGGGAGGAGAGAAGCAAGATCCACAGAGCCATGAGGGACTGGACAGCACTGGAGCAAGCAACAGAAAGACTCCAAGCAAATAGGGAAGAGCAGGGCTGTAACAGCTGCCAAGTCACTCTGCAGCTACACGGTCCTACAGGGAGAGCAGCTCTAGAGTGGCCATGGCTAGAGCAAAGAAAAGCTGGTGTCATTTCAGCAGAGTCTCTCCCTAGCGCCATCAGCCCTAGCAGCAAGAGCACCTTGTCCATGCAGGGAAGTCACACACATTAAGACTGGCTGCACCTTTGGAAGTGGCATCGTCTCCCTGACTTCCCTACACCTCAGAGCCACAAGCCAGCCCCTTCCAACAAGGCTGCCAAGGGGGAGGAAGCACCCTACATCCCAATACTGCCAAAACAGTTTCTTCACCACTTCTAGTTTCTAAGAGCAACAATTTTGTACTTTCAAGGTGCAGCAACTCTTGAAGATTCTTTTTCCAGAGTATCTCATCAATCTTTCTCCCTAAATGTCTCTTCTCCACATTGGCCAGAAGTTGCCTGATTCTGCTCTTGCATCTCTCTTGCACACAGCTTAACCAGCTCTCTTTCCCCGTGTCTTAATAGCCAAGCAGAGAAAATGTCATTGTAAAGGTTTCTTTGTGCAGTCTCTCCCACCATTGCTACTTATGTTGTCCTAAGAATCTCTTCTCTGCCCTCTCACTTATAATACTTATACTTAACATAGTTATCATCTCCCACCATCCCTCAGCCAACCCACTCTGGGTAAGAACAGAAAAACAGCATCTATTTACCACACTTACACTGGGGCCTACTGATTATCCTCTCCTGATAATCCCTCATATGTGCTCATGGATATTGCCCTAGATTCAAAACAGAGTTTGACAGGGTAACCAAACAGCCAGCTTGTGTGAGGCTTCTCCTTCTGGGCTGGATCAGCAAGACATGCTATTTGTCATTAAATCAGTCCTTAGCTCAAGCAACAGAGCTAAATGCTGCACCTTGTAGTCTCCAGCCACGCTGCCGGCCTGGACTGGGAGCTCTTCCACCAGCAAGATGCTGCATGAGCCTCAATGGTGACAACAGCGCAGCGTCAAACTGCCATGTGTCACAAGTGCTTTGTCCTGGCTCAGAGAGCAGTCCATTGACACACTCTCCCATTTCCAAATAAAACCTTCCCCAGTAGTCAAACATCCAGGCCCTGGATAAGATCTTCAGGAAGAGGTCACATCAGGAGACAGACTCTTTCCAATTCACCAAGACACAACGATCCTACACATTTATTGGCTCTTCTGATCTTAAACTGCTTTTGCAAGTGCCTGCTTCATTTGCCAGCTACCTTAGGAAAAATCTATTTTACCGTTATTATTTCCCCCCTAGGATCTGCACTGGTCCAAACTGTATAGATTTTATTATTATTGCCTATACTTTAGGCTCTCCTGGAAGCCAGCTCTTGTGCCTGTTGGAGGTGATTGAAGTCCTACTACTGGATCTGAAAGCAGCAGGGTCAGGTTCAGGTCCCCTGGCAAGATTCCCTCAGCAACACTTTCTCCCTTTTAAATTCCTCTGCCAGTTCCTAGGTGTCACACTGGCCCCATGGGACAAAGTTTCAGGATTCCTCTCTGCATTCCCCACTGCTCTGAAACTCCAGCTTGGCCCTTCTTCCATCTATATTTCAGCTAAGCACATCGTATTTAAAATGCAATGAGGACATAGTTACTCTAGAATTAAATTTGTTCCTAAAGTAACTCCATCAAATCCTCTGGGCTTCAGAAAAGACTACTTTGGTACATTAGATTTTCTCAAGGCCTTCTTGTCTGTAAATGCCTTGATTTTTTTCCTCCAATACCCCTGATTTTAATACTGCCCAATTCCAGCAGTTCCCTTATTTTTTTGCCCATCTCATGCTCTTCATTTCTATTACTTGCTTTAATCATTGCTTTCTTCTTCTCATTAGTATTCCCTTTCTTTCCTTCCTTCCACTTCTGTCTTCTTCCTCTGTGTCTTTAAAATCAAATATCACCCAGCGCTGCCCATGTGGGTGAAGTGAATGCTAAGCGGGGAGGCGGCTGCGCAGAGCGGATTCGAGCGACCTCGCTGCGAGTCAATGAGGCACAGAGGTGTCTCGCTCCGGAAAGGAAAACAGGGCCTACCCGGGGCAGCTGAAAACACCTTGGAGAGGAAGGGAGAGGGCCCGTCACTGAGCACCCCGCTCGGCCCCACATAAACCGAGCTCAAGGTGGCTGCTCTGTAACGGAAGGGGGTGGCTGGGGGGAGCAGCGAGGAAGCAGGTGTGGGGCTCACCTTAACCTGCCATTAAACTCAGGGGAAATATTCATCATCTTTCCTGACCAGGCAACACTTAGGCCCTACGACTACACTCGGGCAGACCCACCCCATCCAAACTGATATGTAATAAACTGAATAGGTCAAAATATTTCATTTACTGGTTTTGTGTCCTGTAGTACCTCTTCCCCACGCCTTCAGGCAGCCAGGAACACCCCCAAATAGCCCCCTACACTTTAAATGGAGGGCTCCACATGCATACACAGCTTCCCTTCCTCAGCTTCCTGCCTTCCCCAATTTTTGGGAATGTCTTTGCACACCAGTGCTGCTCCCTGCCTCTCCTCATACCAGCAATGATCCTCGAAGCCCTGCTCTCAGCCTGGGCTAGGAGCGTGACGGGAGCTCTCCAAGAGACACGGGATGCAGAGCTGCAGGATTCCCTCTCCAAGCGCCCGGTTCTTAGAGCTAATGCACATGGGCACCCCGCTCCTCTGCTCGCCATGCTGTGGGCTGCCGAGAGTTAACTGTGACACAGCCTCCTCAGCTCCCTGTTACCTGACTGCAAGCGCCACAAGTGATTTATGCTATTATTAAAGGGATTTATTTATTTTTTCCTTGGGGGTTAATTAGGGGCTTGAACAAGTAAAGGGCTGTCAGTGCTGGCTGCAATTGCTCTAGTGCAGCCAGAGGGGAGCATCTGCACTGGTCTCCCCAAGCATGAATCCCGAACAGTGCCCTGCTCAGTGCAGCCCATGGTCCCCCATCCTGCCCTCCAGGAACTCTGCGGGCCTGGCACAAGCTCCCGGGCACGCTGCTCTGCCGAGGCCTGTCATTTCCACCTGGCAGTCCTCACTCTACTACTCCTCTATAATTTTCTCCTTTCCTAAACTTGCCAGCAATGCTCATCAATAAGCAGAGAAAACGTGCATGGCACTCGCCCAGGGCAAACAGGAGGCGACTCTCCTTGACACCTCTTGCAGCTGGAGATCACCAGGCACCTCCTCACTCCCTTCCTCCAGCTGCCCATGGCTCCCTGAGCCCTATGCAGCCCGCGCCTGCTCCTACCTCCTTGCCCAGCTCCTCACGGATGACCTGCTGGATCTCCTGGCGGGAGCTCTGGGGCGCTTGGCTGTGCAGCACCCTGAGGGTGCGCGTGTACTCCTCGGGCAGCAGGTAGTCGAGGGCTCCCAGGTGCTGTCCCACCTTGATGAAGGTGCCCCGGTTGGCGCAGCACAGCTCCCGGAGGCGCTCGGCCGAGCGCAGGTGGACCTGCAGCGACACCACAGCGTCAGCCCAGCCGCCCACCGTATGCATCACATACATACACACACATATATACAGCCCTTTTACTCACCCAGTATGCAAGCACACCAGGGGTTTCCTTCAACAGATTTGGTCATCATGATCTAAGGCATGAGCTAAGCTCTAGGATCCTGGTCTGATCCAGAAGGGCTTGGACCAGATCAGGACAAGATGCTCCACACTAAAATGGGCTAAAGACTTGTCTGCCCATGTACTACAGTCAGTGGCCATATGCTAGTTTGGGGCTTTGTCATGTAACACATCCTTGCACAGCAACTTGTCTGCCCATAATCTCTCACTATGATCTACTGCTGTGACACACAATTTGGGAACCCTTTGTGAAAATTACATGTCAGGACCATGACTACATGTTATACTCAGTGCACTGGAGTAAAGTGGAAAGAAAACAACAGATACCAGCCCAGTTCAGATGCTTTACCAAGAGCCTGGAAAGAGAATCTGTCACAACTAAAAAAAATTTAGACTATCTAACAGTGAACAAGAACAGTAACTGGGCAGTCCATCACTGCCTTCCCCTCACTTGAGGGCACCACTGGAAGAAATGGCACCTTCCTGTCCAGCCAGGAGTGCTCACTGACAGCAAAGATCACCCTGAACCTGGTTCTAGAAGCTGAGAGACTCAGCAGCTTTCTCCACAGTAGCCAAAGAGCAAACACCACATGGCAATGCCTATTGCCAAGCACTTGCCAGTCCTGGATTTCAGCTCCTGAAGTTCCTTCTGTGTCTCCAGAAGACATCAGCTGCTATATCCTTTAGTGACAATGATTTATTCTGCCTTTATTACTCTCACTACAGAAGGCTCCTGTCAAGGACATGGTTACACTCAATATTCTTTAATAAACTTATGATAACTTTATTCTAGTGCATTAATAAATCTAGAGCAAATCAATTGCACAAAAACAACTCTGCACCTACCACCTGGTAATGCCTGATGCTTATCTGAATGGAGGCTGTTAAGTCCTTTAGCTTGTGTGTAAGAAGCCCCTGAAGGTCAAATTCTCTGCTCACAGACCTCATGAGACCAGGAGACCCCGAGCTCACGTCGTGACAGACACATCCAGAAGCTCTGAAGTGCACCGCAGGCGGGAGTGACAAAGCAAACATGCCTGGGCACACCAACACACACGCTCAATTTCTTGTCTGCCTTTGAGGTGGCACAGCATCCCATCAAGGGGCAGGTGCCATGTACCCCACCTGGGCACATGCCAGGGGACAGGCTGGGTGCTGAGCTGCAGCGCTCGAATACAGCCCCAGGGAGAGCGAGGGGAAACGCAGACGTGTGAGTCTCTCGCTCAGGATGAGAGACCTGGCACCCTCACGGGTGCCCACGCACACACGTGGGCAGGCATGTGCCACAGCAGCAGAGTGAGCCCAGCCCCAAGCAGAGAGGCACCCAACCCGCACGGCCTGCTCGGCGGCGCTGCTGAGCCTGGGGCCCACGAGCACTCGCTGAAGGCTCCTCAGTCACTGCTGCGTTTCACAGGGCTGCTCCAAAGCTCCTGCTAGAACAAGGCAGCCCCTGCCCAGCCTGTTCCCATGTGGAACATTCCCATTCCCCTGCACGTGGCAGGGCAAGAGCAGCCCAAAGGGGATGAGGGAAAGGAAGGCACAGAAGGGGACAAGAGAGCAAGAAAAGCAGGGAGGAAAGAAGGGCATGAAAGAGAAAGGCAGAGGTGGGGAGGGAGCTGGGAAGTTTGCTGCAGCACAGGGAGTTCAGCCCATGGCGGGGAAGCTGCTTCCCGCCACATGAGGCCGGCTCCTTGCAGACGCCCCGGAGTCCCCACGCTGAGAGCCCATCCCCAGCCTTGCCACCTCGCAGGCTGCAGCAGGAGCCATGGAAGGGTCCCAGGGCAGAGCAGCCGCAGCCCTGGCGCTGTCACTGGGTGCTGGGGATCAGCCAGCCCGGCTTGGAAGCGCTGCCACCAAAGCGCCACCGGCCCCACGGGAATTCCCAGGGATCCACTGGTGAGCAGCCCAGAGCAACCGGAGAGTTGGAAAGATGGAGGAGCTGAAAAGGCAGTGGGATCAGACACACTTGCCTGCAGGGGGTATTTTCATGCCTGTCACTGCTGTGAAGGGGGCAGAGAGGGCCCTTCACTCCTCTAGCATGAGAGCAAAGGAAATGAAAGTCCCTCTAAGTTCTCCATCACGAAGAGATCCGAGATTGCCCCAAGCACACAGCAGTGCCCAGCAGGCAGGAGAAAGGCACTCCTTGCAGAGGGCTCCAGGGATGCAAAAGAGCAAAGTCCACACGCACAGCAGTGCTGCCACCGCACTTCCATCAACAGCCTCATGCACCAAGAGCTCTGGGTGTCCCGGCAGGGCTGGGCAACGTCAGGCCCTGCCGCCAGCAGGGAGAAGGCGACTGCGAACCCTACGGGCCCCTACAGTCTTATCCTGAAAGAGGGAAATCTGCCTTAGGACCTAAATTTTACAAGAGTCCAATTTGTATTAGAAGAAGTATAGTAAAGACAGAGAGGTACCGTGCAAACGGCTTGCAAGGTCTCATCTTACCAATCTGGTCAAGGTGCCGGCAGAAAAAAATAACCTTCCTAACACTGTTAGCTGTCTGGACCTCCCCAAGCCCAGCCAGGGCCCACAGGCAGCACTTGTTCTCCTCACCTACCACCTTCTCCTTATCACAGGCACAGTAGGAGTGTTACAGTTCTCTTAGTGCCCAGTACTGTTGACCCACAGGTTTTTATGCTATGTCCAAGGAAGTGCATGGTAAATGGGAATCTCCTAGAACAGCTCCAAGCTTTTCTCCTCAAAGTCTCACAAGATCCTGCCCTTTGTTGCACAAGCTCTACACTGCAGGCTCTTATTCCTATCAGGGAGGAGAGCTGACAAGAGCAGCTAGTTGGACACAGACACACTTGTATGTGGCCTATGACCATGATCACGCTGCAGGGAAAGGAAGCATTTCACACACCAGAGATTACTAAGAATAAGCCTTCCTTGGGAAGTGACTTGGATTACAAACACCTACCTGTCTGCATGGGCACAGGGCTCCTCCTACCCTCCATGAGAGCTTCTCCTTCTCTCTCACCTGGCTTCAGCAGGATACACTCTCCATTAGCCCACAGCAGGGCTATCAGACCCAAAAACATGGCTTGCCAAAAGCCTAGGGAAGCTGCCCTTAACTTTGATTATTAAAGCTGTTTCGTATGGGCCATAATGAAAGAAATAACTTTCAGCTGTGGAGAGCAGGCACCTCTGGGATGAAGGGGGACATCTTTTAATTTATCCTTGATGCAGAACAGATTTGGCTTCTCAAGTATTTTAAATGCTTTTGAAAGAGTCTACCTACAGAGACCTTGGCAAAGAGTTGCTCTTTACAGCATGAGACATACAGGTGTCAGGAAAGGGGCTGATGCTAATCTGGTCTTAAAGGAACAAATTTAGAGGAAACTAAGTACCCAAGGTAAATTATGTTGGTACAAATGTGAGTATCTGTGGACAGATTGTGTAAGAGGGCTCAGGAACACCCCTAAAGACAACAAGATGAAATGGTGAAAGCAATTCCTCAAATAAAAAGTCCTTCAGAAAAGTCATTCCAACCCTGAGGGGCTCACTCAGGCAAAACGTGGAACGAGGAGTAGGAATGCGGAGAGAAAACGTGAAATGCAATTAGGCCAAGACAAAACAAACAAAGTCACCAGAAATTCCCAGTGATGATGGCAGCCTCCACGACCACTGTTCATACAGACTCCTTACAAGGGGCACCAGGCACCTCCGGCAGCTCCAACAGATCCAGCAGCAGCTCTGCACCATGCAGTGCCCATGAGCATCTTCCCCCACACCCAGCCCGGGAACAAGGAGGGAAATGTCCCCTCAAGCCGTGGGCAATTCCCTGCATGGGGCAGGATGCAGAGGGGAAGCCTAACCTAGCCTGCTCCCCACTCACAGCTGCAACCAGGAAACGCTCTCCAAAGCAGCATCCCTGAGAAAACGCCGCTCCTGGAAGCAACCCCAAAGATTTCCATCATAGGAAATCTGCAGATGAATTTTAAAAGTGGCTGAGAGACAAGTAATTATAATAAAAAAGGGATTGTGTCTTAAAACTGATAGCTTCCAGCAAAGTGAAAAGGAACAAACGTTGCCCGTTTTTTAAAAAAGTCTGGAGTAATCTGGGAAATTATAGTCCTGTTAGCTTTTATTCTATATCAAATAAATTAGTTGAGATAATAATTACAAAGAATACTAAAATCATCTAGCTAAATATAATATGACTTTAAAAAAAGGCTAGGAGGGATTTAGAGAGGAAAAAAAATCATTCTTCTCCAGTCCACTAAAATTCTCTGAGCATTTTAACACAAGAGTCAATAAAGAGAAAGAGGAAAGATTTATTGGGACTTTCACGTGGCTTTCAATAAATTCCCTCACAGAAAGGGAAAAGAAAATTCGGTCATTATTGAACCAGATGCAAGGACACTCTTTCAAATCACATGTTTGTTTTAGCCCATTCTCCCCTCAAAATTCCCTCTCTGCAGCACCAGATCCAGCACTTCAGACAGGAACAATAGGAAAGATCTCTAGTTAGGACAGAACTGCAATACTGAGCAGTGTTTTCACCATAGCTTCATTCGACATGCTCTAAGCAGGTTTAGACAAGGTGACAGTGCAGGAGCTGTCTACATGAGCACCTGCAATGTCATGATTTCCAGTTAAGTCTGAATGACCACTAGAAACATTGAGAAATGCACCCAGCAGAGGAGGAGGTAGAGATAACACCCACCAGGCAGAGGGGGTTCTGCAGGATGGATGGGCTGCCCTGCATCACTGTCAAAAGTTAACAGCCAAGCGACCCATTACACCCTTTCTAATACCAGGGTTTAATTTCCCTGCTAGAGAGAACTGCACAATGACAAAACTTCCAGGAGATGCAATGGAAATTACTCACCAGCCTGGAAAAATAAGCCCTGCCAAGCCCCTACCAAAGACAG